TGCATGTTGGGTTTATTGATATAAATTTGTACCGTTCCTTTTTCTTCTTCTTTGCGTGTGTGCTGCCGCGGCGTTGGTTTTAGGCACAACGCACGCGCAATCCGCCTCCCCTCGCCCCATCCGCACAAGGGCAAAGTCAAGGAGGGAAGGAAGACAGGAGTGGTGGGGTGGAGCGAGTGGGGGTGAGTGTGTGTGTTTGTGTGTTAGGGGGGCAAATGATACACTTCATTTTTTTGCAGAACCGGATGGGCAAGACACGACTTGCCAAGTTTTACGTTCCGTGCGACGACGCCGAACGGGAGCGAATGAAGCGAGATGTACATGCACTCATCAACAGCCGCGATGCCCGCCTCTCCAATTTTGCCTCCTACGGCTCGCTGCAGCTTGTCTACCGTCGCTACGCCGGACTGTTTTTCTGCTTCGGCGTTGAGAAGGACGACAATGACCTCCTTTACCTGGAGTTCATCCACCTGATGGTGGAGGTGCTGGATATGTTCTTCAAAAACGTTTGCGAGCTGGATCTCGTGTTTAACTTCCACAAGGTCTTTCTCATCATAGACGAGATGATTTTGGCGGGAGAGGTGGAGGAGGTCTCGCGCGCCGTTATTCTAGATCGCCTCAACAGGTTGGATATCACAAACGCGTGAACGTGCGCGTGAGGGTGGTTGACCTGCGTGCTGGCGCCGCCGACTGCCTGCTTTGGGACGACAGCAGCAGCCGCGGAGGCGCGGAACGCCGAAGCGGGATTGGAATGATCGCAACTGTGCGTCTGCGTCGGTCTGACAACACTGTGGGGTGAGAAAGGGCACGAGGGTGGGTACGCACAATGGAAAGCGGGAAAAGGGGCTGGAGTGAAAAGGCAATAAGTGGGAGGGGGGGGGGGGGGGGGAAAGGGCTCGCGATTTTCATTCTTGTTTTCAATTTTTCCCTTTGCCTTTTACCTCGTCTCCTCCTGCCTCTCTTCTGGACGGGGGTGGATTGCATGTTTGCTCGAGTGTACAGCTTTTTTTTTGGGCGGGGCGAGGCCCTTCGTATTGGGCATGTGCATGTTGTCTGCGCACCGTCGCGCGGGGCCGCCACGCACACCACCCCCCCCCCCCTCCCTCACTGCGCCCAATCAATGGCTTTTGATTCTCTTCGTCTACTCCTGCGTGCCTCCTCTTCGATCGACCCCCCGCCCCGTCGTCTTTTTTTGGGGAACCCGTGACTGCAGCTTGACGTGTGCCACATTCTTCTTTCCACTAAACCGCATATTCCTCGTTTTTTTTTCTTGTTTTCCGTTACTTTTGTGGTCCTTCACTTCTTTTTTGTTTTCTTTCTTTTATCCTCGTAGCTTCCTTCGCAAACAGATACCGGGAGGGTGGCTTCACTCGCTGCTGCTGCTGCTGCTGTGCTCGTTCTGTGCAATTGCCGTCCGCGTTTTTGTTTTGCTTCCTTTCTTTGGTTCCCGCCATGCCCGCGTGGTACCGATTTATGTTTCCCGCCGGCCTGCTGCTCCTCGCGCACAGCTTCTTCCTCGCACTGCGCATTCGTGAGCAGCTTCAGGAGCACCACCACGGCGGCAGCGGCGGCGTCGTGGCTTCCGCATACTTCCCCGTATCCTCCCACGCCACCGGGGCCCTGGCGCACATAAATGCGTCCACGATACCCATTTTTGTAGAGCTGATGGTCGGCGTCGTCGTCGCCATCGTCGGCTTCGTGAAGCAGCTGAAATTTAAACGCGCGCGTGTCATCGACAATAACTGCCACGAGCGCTATGACGATGTCATGTTCACGGGGGTGGGTTTTATGCACTTCAAACATCGGGGGTCGGTGATGCGGAGCCTCCCGGGTGAGGTTGCGGCCGAGGGCGCCTCTGCTTTAGCCGCCAAGAAGAAAATCTGAAGGGGTGGCGCCGGAGAGAAGGCGAAGGACGCACACCTGCACGCAAAAAGCAGAGGCATATATATATATACATATGTATGCATACATGCTATAGGGCAAAAAACAAAAACAAACAAACAACAACAACAAGAAGGAAGCCGGTGGCAGATAAAGAGGCTTGAAGTTTTTCGAGCTCTGTTTCTTCCTTGGCCTCTCCTTTTTCCTTATCGGCCTTTTCCTTTTCTGCCTCTATCCTGGTCTCGTCGCGACTGTGCGGCAAATCAACGTAAACGCGTCAGCAGTTCAAGGAGTAACTCGTGAGCGAAGTGGACGGATGCGGTGTTGTCCACGCACGTGCGCGGATGAATGGTGTGCATGGGTAGACGTCGAGGGATGCGTGAGGACCAAATCAGGCGAAATGCGTAGTCGAAGGGGTGAGGAAGAGGATACAATAATAATTTAAAAAAAAAGAGGAAGACGCGTGTTTGCTAAGCGTGTGTGTATGTGTGTACTCCCGAAGAGATGGCGCAAGTAATACATTCGTTCGTAAAAATGCGTACAGCCACGTGTTTGTATCGTGTGGTCTCCCCCAGCAACCCCGCGAACAGAGGGGGAGGAGGAGTATGAAAAAGCGCCTCTTTTAATGAGAACAAAGATACCCGAAGGGATAACAAACCAGCGGAATTAAACATCTGCGTTTGCCTAAGTGAGGAGAGTGCTGCCGCAGCATCTGTTTCCTACTCGCACGGTGCTCCTTCTCTACCTTCTTCTTGGTGCAGCAAGGGGGAAAGGGGAGGAAGCGTCTAGCGAAAAAAGAAAGGGACGTGGAGGGACCGCGAGGGGAATCGCTTCACGGTGCTTACGTCTATTGCATTATTGCAGCCCTAGCCCTGAACTCCTTTCTTAGTAGACGCACAGACACGTGACTTTGGCACACTTAGCCACTTATTAGACATGCTGCGCAGGACGTTCCTGCCGTTGTCTGTGCTTCACCAAACACTGCCGCTGCTGGGCAGCAAAGGTGGAACCCCGAAAAGGAAGAAGAACCCGATGCAGTTGCGCCGCAAGGTGTACGGTCTGCACTTCAAGGAGAAGTACCTGAAGTTGGAGGAGTGGTACTACTGCCCACTCTGCGCCGAGCCAAAGAAGCAGGGCGAGTGGTGTCGCCGTGAGGACTGCCGTCAAATCAAGCCGTAGCCTGGAACAGCTGCAGGCAAGCAAGAGTGAAAGGGCGCTCTGGATGTGGGGGCGTGGGAATGCGAAACGACCATGAAGGACTCCATTTGCGCCCTTTTGTAAAAAACAAAAAAAACGATTCAAGGAAACGGCAAACCTCACTTTTTTTTTTTTGGCTTGCCGCATATTTTATCGTTCTTGCGGCCTCTTTCCGCGGCTTACCGTGTTGCTGTTTTCCGCCTCCTTCTTATTTCACATGTTGCGGTGCCTCCTATTCGACTGTGTCTGTGTATGCAGTTGTGTGCTTGTCTCACGTGCAGAAGAGGGAATGGACGTGATTTTTGTTGGCGGCGCAAGGGCGCTAGCTGCAAGGCACTTCGTAGTTCCTGTCGGCGTGAACTCTCGTCCACACGGAAACGATCCGGCAGAAGAAGAAGAACGAGGAGCCGCAAAAGGCGGAACGGGCGGTGTTCGTGACACGGTGGCGCCAGAGCCGTTGGTGAGGAGTATACAGCGATGCATCGAGTTTGGGAAGAATGCTGCGCACGTGGAGCGGAGCGAAGAGGCGGCAACTGGAACAACGGATTGTGCGCGACGGCTGGCGGCGTTGCAGTCGGCACTTTCCATCCTCTGCCACATAGCTGCGATGGATAAGTCCTACTACTATGTTTCCAGTAACCTCGCAGCAGCCCCAGCGCCATCTGGCTCTAGAGCAGGGACCTCAAACAAACACGAGGGCCAACGCACAAGGGCGCCTTCAAGTATAATTTTTTCTCTCACAGACATTTACACCACAGTACGAGCTCTAAAGTTGGAGTATGAGGATGCATTGAAGCAGCAGAAGAGTGGCGGCGCGAAACTGCCGATGGGTGTACAATCAGTCGCAGTCTCCATTTCGAGTACCGAGGCTCGCGTGGATGCCTCGCTGAATTTATTAGAGTTCACCCTGGTGCAAATGCTTCTTAACTTTGATCGGGCCCGTTATGTTTCGCCTGCGTACGTTGGTGACATTCTACGAGCGATGCCGCAGATCTTTGCGACGGAGAAAAGGCCCCTCACAGTTCTGCAGAAGAACGATAGCCAAACTGCCCCGCCGAAGCGTTTCCCTGATACCGAGGATGACTCTGACGATGTGAGCCATGCCGCAACCTCAATTGTTTTCAAGGCATTGCAAACTCTAAAAAGCAAAGATTGCCTTCGAGTCTTGAGCCCCGCAAAGTCGCGCAATGCCGCCCGGTTAGGTGCTGCCCCACTGTCCGTGTCACTTGAGGGGATGATGGCGGAAGCACTGAATGGCGCATACCGATGGCGTGGCCTTTACGGCGCAATGCATGACATGAAAGTACTTCTGTATGGGGTGTATGCCACAGTTCCTGCGGAGCAGGAGCAGCATGTCAATGCCTGTCGTCTTCAGTTTGAGCGCTCGATACGAGAGCAGTATGTACTTTTTTTGTACAAGACTGGGCTCTCTGCAGAGGTGGGAGGTCCGCTCTTGGTGGAGGAAACCATGTTTGATGTGAATCCGCTTCCCACGGAGGCTGACGCCGCATCGTACACTGATACACAGTTAAAGTCGTTGAAACTGCTTACTTTGCTTCGTGAGGTGGACACCAATAGGTGGTTTGAGTACCCAGTGTTCGACATGGCCAACATTGAGCTAAGCAGCATAGAGAAATGGGTACGAGGCTCGACATTTGCTGTGAAAACAAACCGTGATGCCTTTGTCGCTCTCCGTGATGTGTTGGAGCAGATGGTGGATAGCTGCGTGCTTAGCTACGGGCCAACCAGTCCCTTTAGTCAGGTCATCACGTTGATGCGGCAGCGCTTGGTTGACGCCGCGCGTGAGGTGGAAATGCTGTGATGAGTGCAGGCGGGGTGGACGGCGATGCGAGGGGGAGACGCGCTCCTCGGGGGGATGGGCTCCAGGCGGCCCCACTTCCTGAGCAGAGGTGGCGCGCAGAAAATGACTGCATCCAAGCCAAGTGGAACCGCAACAAGGATAAAGCCGCGAAGTAAGAAAAAACAACAACAACAACAACAACAAAGAACTACAGTAACTGGACTAAAAAAAAAAAACAAATTTCTGTTGATAATACATATATACGTATATATAATTTTATTTGTTTATTATTATTATTATTTTTTTTTGGGGGGGGGGTTCTTCTTCGCCCTGGGCAAGAAAGCGTAGCGAGGCAGTCGGGTACATAGCAAAGACCGAGGGGCATATAAAAGGCGGGTGAGCAACAACAACAGCAGTAGGAAGGACTCATAAAAACAAAAACAAGAAAAAGATATATACTCGGTGAAAGTTCGAGGAAGCAGGCAATAAAAACAACAACAACAAAAGAAACAAGTCGCCAACGAAAAAGAGAAGGAAAGTGCTGAAGCGGTCGGTGAACAGAAGTGTTCACCATGCTCAGTGTGAATTTTCAGCGGGATTCCGCTCTACAGGAGTCCTTCAAATCTTTTTGTGAGGCGAACGCGCCGCTTCGCGCTCTTGTGGTCACGCTGGATGAAGAAGTAATGCGACTTCATGGCAAGGTCCCTGCATCTACTGCCAACATGGAAGATGACCTTGCCAAAGTCAGAGATATGATTAAGGCGGATAAACTGGAGGCCGCTTTTATTATCGTAAAGCTCAGTGAAGGAGAGTTTGCCCAGGTGTGCTTCTGTTCGGATAGCGTAAAGCCAAAGGTTAAGATGCTTTACGCATCAGGCGCAGCTCATTTGTTGGATGCCTCCGGATTAACGCATCTCGTAAAGGAGCACGTGGATGATGTGGCGGACATCACACCGTCGCTTTTCAAGAAGGAAACGTCTGCTAGCCGCATGGAACTCATGACGGAAAACGAGAAGTTCAACGCCGCTATCGAAAAGATGGAACCCGCACCAGTGCAGGTGGCAATGCCAGGCGTAACCATGCCACTCACCGAGGAAGGAGTGAAGCTACTGCAGGAACTGAACCGTGGTGCGCTGAATGCACTCTCCTTTGTCGTTGACACCGAAAAAATTACGGTGGATAAAACACTTGAGGTCTCAGAGAATTCGTCATTGTCTTTGTCAGCAATTCTCAAGGCGGTGAAAGGTCTCCTCCCGGAGGGTCAGGCCCGTTTTGTGGTGCTTCGTTGCCCAACAAACGGAACTACAAAAACGGTAATGGTGTACGTCTCCCCGTCAACGTGCAAACCGCGTGTGCGAATGACGTATGCCGCCTCCAAGTTATCCTTCATCTCGCAGGCAGAACAACATGGCGTGACGTTTTCGCGCCGGCTGGAGTTGGGCAACAGGAATGATTTGCAAGAAGCCGTGGAAGATGCACTTAGTGCAGAGTTGGACAACAAGGACGAGGGCCAACCAAACCCGCCCAATATCGTGGCCTAAAAGGCGGACAAGGAGTGCTTCTCTAGGAAGGGAAACGAATGCATTGACATATACACGTGAAGGAGAGTCTAAAAGGCGAAGGAGCGTTTATCGTGACCAGTGCATTAATAGCGAGCCTTTTTTGACTCACTCCTCTTTATTATTATTATTCCCCTCTTCTGTTTTAAATTTTCTTCGTCGGCCGTTGCTCCTCTCTGGCTGGGTGATCTGAAAAAGAGTCTTTTCTGGGTTCCACGTTTATTTGATTCGCCTGCCGACCAAACATATGCTGTATGCAATGCGAGTTTTATCTGTTTTTTTTGTCCATAATTTTCTCTCTCTCTGTGTGTGTGTGTGGGTGAGTGTAAGGGTGCGAATTCCTCTCTGTTGGATTTTCTGTGGCTATTTGGATACCCGCCGCATTTCCCACTGAACCACGCGAGCGAGAACGCGCATGAAGATTGCGCCCTTGCGGGCGATATCCACGCACCCCTCCTCCTCTTGTTCTCCCGTTTCCCTCTCTTTTTCTCTTTTTATTTTATTTTACCGCCTGCTTTACTGTAATCTTTCTCTCCACCGTCCTTTGTTTTGCTCGTGCTTATTGCTTCTGCGCGTGTTATTTGGCAAGAGCGGCTTTCTCTGGACAAACTATTCATTGCGCAGCAACAGGTGAAGT